TCATTATTTAGTTAACCAATTACAATTTACAACACTTCATGGTAGCCAATTACATTGTGACATAGAGACGTTAGTTTTGGCAGGAACCTATCAATTTAAAGTTCTTTGTCCTAAGAGGGTTTAAAATGACCAATCATAGACACCTAAGATACTGTGGGGCAGTGAGTTCATGACTCTTTACATGTTGGTCTTGCCTAGGCTAGATCTTGGTAGACCGGGTGGGGGAGCATTTGCCACCTAAGTTATCTATTTAGCAAACAGGCGAAGTTACAGAAGCGAGATTGGGCAGTTAGTAATTTCTGATAACCCTAAAAGGGAACTACATAACCTTTTATCTCAATTATTCATGAAAGGTGAGTTTAAACCGAACTCATATACAATAACCTTTCTGATATCTTATAAGTTGACCTATTACAACATCACTATGGTGGGGTGATGTTGGGGCTCCAAGAATCGGAGTCTGTAGGTTTCTGGAGATTAGGCTGTTGATAAGATTGCCTTTTCCTTGTGGTCTACCAAGATATTTGTAAATATATGGAGACCCAGGTCCTGCAGGACTCTGATCTCTGTGAGTTAACCATTTGTTTTTCCCCTTTCCTTTGTTCTTGGGCAGCCAGGAGAGCCTGAGGAGTATCACACACTTCCCACCTGGTGGGGAGAGGGCTGTGTCTGTGGCAGGTCAGCTTCCTTTACTCTCCCTCCTCAGGGAACACTTAGGAGTCATGAAATTGGATATCTGGCTGAGGAAATACCTAAGCAAAGTGTTGAAGGGGTGGCCTGGTTTCTCGTCACTGCTGCTATTAAATGCAAAAAGAAAAATGACTCAAAGACAGAATTGTTAATCAGAGAGGAAGCACAATCTAAACGTTTAGAAACTCTCAGCCTACCCCATTGAAAGGAGAGAGCAAAGGCCGGTTCGGGAGAGAACACATGGGTGTGGCCAGACCAGAGAAGATTAGGAAGGATGGGCCACCTCAGCAAAAGCTACCAGCTATTCCTCAAGACGTGGGTGATTAGTCAGCATCTCCGCAGAAGGCAGGACACCGTCCTATGGAAAATTCACTCCTGAAGGCATTTCGGAGATCACAGCACTGAGCTCCCATCTCTGGCCCAGAGTGCACAGGCCTGGGGGGTGGCATGATTTCTAAGGAGCCATCTGGTGCCTGCTGCCACCTCACATTGGAGGCTCTGCTCCCTGTCCTCAAGCTCCTGGCTCCTCAGCAGCCCCAGGTGCCCCACAGGCCTCAGTGTGGTGGGCACTGTGCCTCGCCAAGCTGTGGGAGCATGGCTGCCTCCACCTAGATTTCAGAGATGCCCTGGAGAGCTGCGGGCAGAAAATGACTGTGAGTGTGGGGCCACCACAGGGATCCCCCAATAGGGTGATGCTTAGTGGAGCCATGGGGGGCATGGCTGTCCCCAAGACTCCAGACTGGTAGAGCAAGCAGTGTGCATTATAGCCCACGGGGCCGGTAGGCATGTGACACCAATGCATGAGAGCCCTTGCACGGGCTGTGCCTGGAGGAGGCACGAAAGTGGGGACACCCAGAGACGTGGGGGCAGGGATGCTTGGAGCCCTAGAGGCCCAAACCCTGCCCTAGTGTGTCTGGAAGGTGGGACCTCCTGTGCCCCAGTGGGTCTGAAGGGTAGAGTGTGGAGCCAAGATTTTTCTCAGCTTGACCCCACCGTGTTGTGCCAGGTGCTGAGAATCCCCACCCCTTTCCCTAGGGCAGTGTGCTGACATGTCAGGAGCTGGGCACAGCTCCACTACTCTCCCTCCCTCCCTGAAGGAGAGGTCTCAGAGTTAATTCACCTTTTACTAAGGCCACATTGTCCAACCAGCTGGTGAGCTCCATGTGCTGGGGGGG